AAGTGTGGGGGGGGGGCTAGTGGGGGCTAGTGGGAAGGAAGCAGAAAGGTAGGGTGGGCTCCTTGCCTCTGTCCTATCAAAATTGATACATCTCTGAAAGTAGCTTTTTCTCCTCCTGTATGTACCAATGTGTGTCTCTACCTGAGCTGTGACCTTAGCTGAAAAAACCTATTCATCCTCAGGCAGCTCCCTCACTCCTTCTCCATAGTCTGATCCAAACAGGCCCCAGTCTGTCTCCTTCAACTCAATTCCCCACCCCCTCTCCCACCCCAGGGCTGGGCTGATAGCTCTGCCTCTCTTCCAAAAGAAGAGGTGTCATCCAGGGGAAGGGGATGGGGCCAGCAACTCCCTCATTTTCCCTAGTCAACCTGAAATGTCTAGATTGAGTCTACTCACTCATTCAATGTCTCCTTCCTTGGTCCCCTAACCCTGCCCTCAATGGAACTTTTTGACTGCATGGCCAAAACCCCCAGGAGTGGTTGGTCTTCCCCCAGGGGCCCACTTTATGTCCACCAAGCCCTTCCAACTCCGTGTTTCTCCCTGCATCCCATCAATCTCACCACCATGCCCTTCCCCATCCCAGGAAATGGCACTTCCTTCTCCAGTCATCCAAGGCCAGAACCAAACCTGGGAGTCACCTTAAATACCACCATTTCCCTCAAACCCCATATGCATTTCCCAAAAGGCGTTCTTTGGTGAGCAGTGAACAATGGCTTGTGGTCAAGAAGCTTGAAAAATGCTGGGTTCCACAAAGTTTAAATAGGTTTCTTACAGCAGTACTTCTCAGAGCCTTTAAGGTGCTAGTGTACATGTGACTCTACATGAAGATATTACTGTATGTACTATTTTCCCCAACATATTCAACCACTGAACCTTTTTGTGAGAAGCAGCTTTCAGAACTGGTGAAGGGTCCTCGGAAGACAATTTGGGAAACTGTGTCCAACATACCACGCATTTTCACCCTTCCAGGTCCTTGTTCAAGTGAGCCCTTCTACCAAGAATGCCCCATAACACTCCTTAAGACGAATGCAGCCTCCAATTCAAATGTCACTTCTTCCTCTAGTTCTCCCCTTCCTCATTCTTGAGGTAGAATTAGCTGTTCCCTTCTCTGGGCTCACAGAGCACAACCTCCTCTAGGCTCACAGAGCATGATGTTCACTTTGCCCCCAGCTCCCCAAACAGGACTGGGAGTTCCCAGAAGGCTAGGGCTGGGTACAAAGTGTACCGAATTACAATGTGTTTGCTCCTTTTTCCCCCTGCATGCGTGCGCATGTGTGTGTGCGCGCGTATGTGAGCGCGGGCGCGCGCGCGGACACACACACACACACACACTAACCAGTCCTTAATTTTTTACCCACTCTCTCCTATCTTTTCCCTCCTCTTTGCTTTTGCTGTTACAACCTATCTATCCATCACCTAGAACTGAAATATGTTTCTTTGGTTTTGTTACAATTTGTAAGTTAAATATTCCCTGGCCTTGCTTTGTTTTAGAAGTTGCACAGATGCTTTTTTCTTTTCACCACAAGGGCAGATTGTGCTCATGCCTTGATTCCCTGATCCTGGCCAGCTTTTCTCTGAGGAAAGAGAAAAGAGGGAAGACAAGAGGGGGTCTAGCTCACCTTCCTCACTGCCCTCCTCTTCTTCCTCCATTGATGATTCTTCTTCAAAGATGTTCTCTACCTCATCCTCATAGTCATCCAGGTTGTTGCTATTCACCTGATCCTTCTCAGGTTCTTCAATGTCACGCTCATAGTAATCAATGTCTCTGTCATCATCATCACTGCTTTCATTGTCACCTTCATTGCCGTCATCATCACTGTATTCACTGTCATCATCATCACTGCCTTCATTGTCACCTTCATTGCCATCATCTTCATCATCACTGGTCTCGTCTCCATCGTCAATGTCGCTGCTGTCCAGGTTGTTGCCATAGCTGCCATCTTTAAGGTTCTTGTCATCACCATCAGTGTTCTCACTGTTGTAATCAGGATTCTCATTGTCATCGGCACTCTCACTGTCGGTGGTCTCACTGCGGTCTGGGCTCTCACTGTCACAGAGGCTCTCACTGATGTCAGTTATCTCGTTGTCAGTGGTCTCGAAGCAGTCGGTGGTATCCATGAAGTCAGAGATCTTGATGTCATGAATGGTCTCATTGTCGCTGATAACATCACTGTCTGAGGTCTCGCCAATAATGTCTTTCATCACTTGATAGTCATCAAAGTCATCCATGATCACCACCTCATATTTGTCCCTCTTTTTATTGTGGGAAAGCCTGCAGTTGAATATATGGTGGGAGGTGGTGTACCCAAGACAGACACTAAAAGGTGGTAAATAACTTGGGAGGCAGTAGGCTATAAGGGCTCCCAGGGACAAAGCTAGGGTGGGGAGAGTCCCATTTCTGCCCCTGAGTGTGTAAACTAAGGCCAATCACACCCCATTTGTGGGCACCATTCCCCGCTTGTAAAACATATTGGACTGAATTATCTCCAAGGTCCCTTTTGGTTTTATAAATCCAGTGTGACACTAACACATCACCTCTCAGCCTCTAACCCCCCATCACCTTTCTTTCTTTTCTAGCTTCTTTCTGTTTGCCCTGTAGCCGCTTTCTCCCATCATGTAGTAGCGCACAGGGTTAACCCACAGATCATTCTTGATAATCTGTTGAAAGAGAGAAGAGAAGGGAGAGAACAGAGCTATGAGTACAAGCCCCAGAACCTACTCCCAATTCCCCAGGCACCCAGAGGCAAGCCTAGCAAGACCTTCTCTGATAATACCAGGAGGGGCCTCACCTCAGCAATCCTGTCAGCCTCTGGGAGGCTGTGATTTGAGAACCAGGTGAAGAAGCTTTGTTTGGTGTCTTGGTTCCTGTGCCTCTGAGCCTGGGGTTCCTGGCCTCGGTGCCAGCGGATTGGGGTGGAGTGAGACACTAGCCGGCCTGGGGAAAAAGGAGGCTGTGGAGAGGGCACTGGACAAGGGTAGGTGGGGGTTCCACGGATTAGCCCCAGGACTGCCTCTTACCTGATCGGTTGCACTGGAACTCCTTGACAATCACCATGTTTGTGAAATAGGGGTTTGTCTGGAAGTACAGCTTCATTTTGTAGCCCATGGAGATATGTCTGAGATCCTGTACCTGCTCAGGGTGGGGGTAATGATGCAATCCCCACCCCACCATGCCCCCCCTCACCTCCAAGGATCAGATTCCTTGCCTGGCCTTAGTAAAAAAATCTCTTTGGCCTGACCTGCAGATTGGTCAAGTAGCGGAAAATGTCTTCATCACGTTGGTTGATCAAGATTGAAATTTTGGGGTGGTTGAGGAACTGAGGGAGGGAGCAGTTTAGGTCAAGGAGTGACTATTCTTTGAGAGAAGGAGGGAGGGAAGGCCAGGCAGGGCAGGGCAGGCAGGGCAAAGCAAAAGAGAAGCTGGAGCAGAATTCCTTCTGTGTGCATTTGATATGTGTGGAACAAGTGGGTCATGGGACATGACCTGTACTTTATTTCCATGATACTATGTAGTGAGAGCCTGTGTTTATGCTTTGTAAAACCTCTGCATTAGGTGGCCTTGCCACGGTTCTTATTTGTTGTGTCTGGGTACTGAGGGTCTATGTCCATGTGATATGTCTCCGGATGCTTGAGGGCTTCTGTTTGTAAGACATTGTGTGTCTGGGGGCTGAAGGCCAATGTCCAAGTAATGCTATATCTGCTTGCTGAGGGCCTATAGTCACATGATATTCTATATTTGGATGTTATGGGTCTTTGTCCAAGTGAAGTTATGTGTCTGGGTCTGAGGGTTTGTGTCGAAATGACACTGGGTACTAGGGTCTGTGATCATGGATACTTTATATGAGAGTGCCAAGGGTCTGTAGCTATGTACTTCTGTTAGGACAACCCATGTGTTCCTAACATGTTGCACGTCTATATGTGTGTCCTACAGAGATGAGCTTGTCACCAGTAGTGAATGGGATTTTCTTACTCTCCCCTTTCCTTCATTTAACTCCTTGATATCCATTCCTAGGTACTCCTTCTTCTGACCCATTAGGGGCTCTAGTCCCTTTCTAGCCCCTTTTTCTCCAGCCAGGATTAGGGTTTCCCTAGTATCTAAGCAGACACCTAGGCTTGCAGAGCCATGTGTGAGTTGGGGCATCCATTCTGGGCAATTTCTCTGCTCTGATGCCCTTCCCGTCCCTCTTCACTGTCTCTGAGTCAGTTCATTTTCTGTGTGCCCCTCCCTCCTCTTTTCACCATCTTTGGTCCAATTTTTCTATGTGCCCCTCTACTACCCACCCCCTTTCACTGTCTGTGATCCATTTTTTTATGTTATGCTCTTCATCTTCACCCTTTCCCACCTGTGGTCCAGTTTTTATGTTGTGTGCCCCCTCTCCCCTTCACCATCTCTAGTTCAGTTTCTCCAATGTTTTGCCCTCCTCCTTCCATCCCTCCTCCACCAAACCTAGTC